GCTACAGCAAAGAAACAATGTACAAAGAACATTTGTAATATGAAAATGGTGTTCAGGTTTTTAATACACTGTAATTGACCACACTGATTTTTTTTTCTGTGAAAAGATAATTTGGTATGAAAATCATGCAGTACTTAAATAATGTAATTTTGATAATGACAGTGAAATATAATTTCTGTAAGGCAAGTGAATCACAAACTTTTTCTCATTCAAATTACGTGTGTAATATGTCTGAATGCTGTCACTATTATACATTTTAAAAATAACTCTGCCATGAACTATTATTGAGTATCATTATATTTCAAATACATAACAAAAACTAGTGAAGTCGCAATACAAACATGTTGAAATGCCATGTTGCATTTATTGGAGAAGTAATGAATCCTGCAGGAGTGAGCCAGACTTCTTTTTCTAGACATTTTATCACAATTATTTTAAAGAGCTGAACCTTCCCCATGTTAAGCTGAAAACTGAAATTGAGATAGGCTTTGACCTTCCAAAGATAAACATGAATTCCTATGGATAGTCAAGGTTCCTGTTGCTTCTTGTGTTGTGCCAGGCTTTGGAGACAGAGGAGTTTGATCTATTAAGGGTGAAATTGCACTATTGGTAAAAATGGTCTTTATTTGTGCCGTCCATCTTGAGACTGCGGAGGAAGCAGCATCACTCCACTTCTGGGAGACCTTAAAGGAAGTTGGATGCACGGAGAGGTCAGAATGCAAGAAGGTGTCCAAGCAACTCCTGTAAGTTAGTACCTCAGTTAGGTTTTTTATATCTAATATTCCTGCCTTTTTTTTTTCTCGGGGCTCCCTCCTCCACCCCCTCACTGGAGACCCACACATTCCTACTCCTGCTTCTCAGAGAAAAGGCTCCTGGAGGAGGCTCGTGCTATCTCCACACACACTTTGATGTTTATAACTGATGGGGCTCCTCTCTTTGCAGTTGGGAAGTGGAGAGGAGCAGAGAAGCTGCACCACATCACGGGGGTCACTGTGTAAACTGAGGTTGAGTGTTGGGTGGATGATGAGTTGGTTGTGCCCCCTTTGATCTGTGCTCACATCCGACCTCTGCACGGATCAGCCCTTTGTCCAAGGCTGCTGAAGACACTGGGCATCCTCTGCTCTTTCCTCCAATGTGTGTTTAAAGTGGAACATATATATATATGTAATGTTCTCTTATGCTGCTCTGTTCCACTCCCAATGGTATATTTTATATATTGCAAATTTCACTCCTTACCAAAAATACATCATCCTGGAAGCAAACTGAGTCAAGTGTTGTCAATGTGCCCGTAATTCCTTTGCAATTGTGTGAGGTGTGAAATTCGCTCAACTGTTCTCACTGGAAGATCTGAAGGGTGGGAGATAAAAAAATTAATTTCTGCCAAGTGGGCAAGGACAAATATAGATTATGTATATCTTATTTCTCTGGAACGAAGATGGAGGAGTTGTGGTTCCAAGAGACATCCTCAGAAGAAAAAGGAAAGGAACTAGGACAAATATTTTCTTTCCTTTTTCATCATATATATGATAGATGCAAAGAGACAGTAACAGTTTATTACACCAAAAGGTAAAATAAATGGTTGATTCAGCTAAATTGAAGTTCAAATTAGAAAAAAATATGCAGAATGTCCATGGTACAAACTTCTTAAACCAAGGTATTTCTCTAACTCATAAAGAAAACCAGAAATAACATTTTTTGTGGCGGATGGATGATCTTTTTGATTTTTTTAAAATGGTTTTAAGACAATTTTGCTCTCTACTTGAAAATTATGATCCAGTCATAAAAGCAGGCATTCATAATGAGAAATTTAGTTATGAATGAAAGCTGGGATTCACAATAAAACATCCATTGGTGTTGGTGATTTTTTGCCTCTCAGTCATTACCTGAGTGTGGCACTAGGAGGCAATCTGCTATTAGAGGTGTCATCCCTCAGACATCAAAGTCTGGGAGTATCGAGATATTTCAGCACCAAATGGTACCGTTTATGACCAGTTTTTTATGTGTCATTACCACCATCACCTTGCCTTCCATCTGCTGTTATACAATGGCAGATTATGGTGATTAAAAATACCTTCCTGAGACTCTGGTCACACTTTTGGCCAATAATTCCAATTTCTAATATCCCAAATAAAGGAGTGAGGTTTAAGTGAGGTGATATTTAGACTCAGGTGGTGACAGGGTTGTCACAGCCAACCACCTGAGTTGACAAGACACAGGTGTTCCCAGGTACACCCATAAGCAAACCAGCTCAGATAACCTGTACCAGGAATATTTATACACCTCTTTCTGCTGTGGACTCTTCTAGGGCAGAAAGCAGCCAAAAAGGGGCTGGGGTTAAAAACCAATAGTTTGAATTCAGGTACAAAGGCAAGTGCCATTTCAGCTCTTCCTGGAGGTTGACTGCTTGACTTTGCTGTCTTACCTCATCTTATTTTGATAAAAGTTCTTTTGTTGTTGTTTGGGAGCAAATGTATATTTACACACTTTTATTAATTCTGTAAAGTACTTGGAAGTTCTGAAAGAACCGAGACAGAGTTGGAAACATGGTTTTAAAAATGCTCTCACAAGTGTTTACTAAGACAGAAAATTGAATTTGACTTGGAGCACTTGTTTGTGCTCCTTTTGTTTTCTTTATGTGAATATTTTAGCTAATAGGTTTACTGTTAGGGTTGTTTATGGGAACGGCACATTTTAAGCAAATATTTCAAAAAATTTTCATGTATATTTTAGACTGGCAAAGGCAAATGCTTTCACTAGAAATCTAATTGTAAGCTTTACTGTTTACAGTATATGCTTTATTATACAGTCATTAAATCAGAAAGTATGTCTATGGACATGTGGGTTTATGTTCAGTAAGGAACTACTAACTCGTGGGTTAAACAGCAGCAGCTACACAAAAGACATCAATGACTCTCAAGAATTCTAGATATTAAGTACTTTCATTTATTTATACATTTATAAATGTATAAATGTATTTATACATTTATAAATGTATAAATCCCCAGACCTTTCCATTCCCTCTGACACTGCTCTTTGCATAAGCCACTACTAAAGTCTGTGTTCCAAGTGCTGGGATGTGTTGTGGTATCGTTGGGCAGATCAAACAATACAAGAAAATAGATAATGCACAGTTTCCAGACAAAATAGAGACTTTTGAACTGGGACCATGACAGAATAAAAACTCACAATAAAGTCTGCTTAATGCAATTCTTCATCTGCAAATTCTCTTGCAGCTTTGAAATCTTATCTGGCATCTTGACTTTTAAAACCACTCCCTTCACACTTTGGAAAAAAATAATAATTCTGTTTGTGTGTCTGTAAAATAAACATAATTAACATAGGTGGTATATGCTGCCTGTAAGCAAAGAGCTTCACAATTAAATCACAGATTTGGTGCTATGCAGGTTGAAAACACGAGCTTGGCTCAGCAGACAGTGATTTTTTCCAGGGTCCATAGATTGTCGTTCTATGCCTTGTGTCAGCACAACTGCATCAGGAACTTCACCACTTGCATCAGCTCACATTAATATTATTTTTAAGACAAAATGGTCCTTGATATGACACTGCCACCCATCAACAGAAACAATTGTGCCATGGAATGTTAATATGAAAGTTTATATATGATAACATTACCGTTTGTTTTTAATAATTTTTCCAATGGAAACAACTACTGTTTCAGTGAGTCATTTTATTTTCTTGCATTTCCTGGCAAGTGCTGCAGGACTGTTTAAGGAATAGAAAAACAAGCTGGCTGCAGCTCAGCAGAGAGGCTGATTCCATGGGCTGTGCTAGGTGGAGAATGCCATTTAAACCAGTGGTCTGGACTGGGCATACAAGATGGGTTGCCTTTTTCAGCTTCTAAACTATGCCCTCTTGTACTGAAACACTGTAAAACAACATTAATTAAGACTTCAAATTCAAACCAGAGTTCTCAGGGAACATATATATTTCCAGATCATTCCACATTATGTAATACTTGAAATATTGAAGCTTACTTACAAAAGGGAAGTAATGGAAAATGTCATCATGTTGGTGTATTTTGGGAAATACATCAGATTTTGTTAATAGTTTGGAGAAAATTTTAAACTGAGGAATACAAATCTAGTTTTAATAACTACCCTATCAAGTATATGTCAGGGGGAAAAAATTCATTTCAAGTTTTTATAAATTATTATATGTCAGGGGGAAAAAATTCATTTCAAGCTTTTATAAATTATTTTTGGCCCAGTTTAATGCATTTGTCATTGGCCACTGTGATTTAGGACAGTAAACATTTTCACTGTTATCTCTTTTCAGAAAGAAGCAAAACATTCTGACCCAAAATTGATAGGTGGTGTTACTCTGTTCGGATCCTAACAAGAATGAGAAATTTTTTTCTTTCAGCTCTACTCTGCTCATCTGGTCTATATTTCCACCTAAACTGGACAAATTCTGCAGCCATTTAAATCCACCCAACCCTGTTGACCTCAACCATACTCTTATCCTGATTTACAGCCTAATTAGGATTTTAATGATGTAAATGGAAGTAGAGTTTGCTCCTAAATCTTCCCTCTAAATTGGAGAGCATGTTCACCTCTGTGTGCAGGATGTGCCTCAAACAGGGAATGTACAGCTAAAACTTGGCAGGCCAGGCCTGAGGTAGAGGGTGGATTTCTTTTTTTAAAGCTGAGGTCCTACCTTTCACCAGATAAGCAGTGGCACGTTCCCATGTATCTTGTAAAATCTTTAACAGTCCTACACATGCATGTACAAGTGTAGCACTGTTTTTACAAGATAGACTACAATTCCTTCTCACATATCTTTGTGATGAGGGAATTGAGTCATTAGTCTAAATATATTTGGGAGTATTGAAGCTGCAAGATGGCAGGAAGAGCAGGCACTTCCCAGCTCCTGCTACCTGTGGAACAAAACCGGGTCCTGCCATAAAATCTCTAAATGTGTGGCAAATAAGAAAGGACAGAGGGGCTTTATCTATCTATCACCTATCTATCTATCTATCTATCTGTCTGTCTGTCTGTCTGTCTGTCTGTCTGTCTGTCTGTCTCTCTCTCTCTCTCTCTCTCTCTATCTATCCATACATCTTGCCTTAAAGCTTGTTCCAGAGCTCAGAAAAGCATAATTCTCATTAACGTCAGCAGCCCGAATCAGTTCCTGAAAAAGAAAACACAGTGTATCACTTTCAGTATCTTCTATAAATTTAAGCCAGACAACCTTTGTGACTTCTAACACCCTCTATATTAAATAGTGCTCTGAAAGATTTAATATTTATATTACACAAATCCCGCTGTGTTTAAATTGTTTAAAGGTGCCATAACCAGCATGTTTACTCTGCCCCAATGCTCGCTGTAGCTCAGATGTGTAACTCCTCATAGAGACTCATGTTACGCAAAATCATTCTCCTCCCACCCTCAAAACTGCACCAGAAAAAAACATTTGCCAGAACTTGCTCCAGAAGGCTCATTTCCATATAGCCGTCTCTTAAATAAAAAACTAGGAAAGCAGAATGATGGGGGATCAGAACGACCCTGGGCCATTGGTTTGATATGTTGAGACTGGAGTTTACTCAGCCATTGCCCTTCCAATGCCAATAAATTGTATGTTATATATCATTAATGGAGAATGATATATAGTTTTATATGCATAAAAGAATGATATATAATAATGCCCCCTCTATGGCTGGGGTGATGCCTGACCAGGGACACAAACTCACAAGATTATTAGTGCAAGATCAGGCTGTGCATCACATGGACAGGTCCAAATAATTCTGCCCAAGAGAAAAGAGTTAATAATTTCTTCCTTCTGTTAAATTAGGGCTGTTTGGGTTTTGAGTTTATTTTAAAACACATTGAAGCTTGATGACTTTTAGTCACAGGTGAAGTGCTGCGGAGTAAAGAAGCAGAAGGATTTTTAAAGATCTTACATAACTTCAGCGATATTTTTAAGCATATTAATTGGCAGGTGCTGCACACAAACACGGAGATGACTTTCTGAAAGTACAAACCTGACCCTTGAGTACAGCAATTTTATTTTGTGGCTTATATAAACAACCAGATTCATCACCTGTAAAATCGAAGAAGGTGGTACTCGTTTTTAGAAGGAAGTAATTAGGTAGAAGCTTTGCTCCCCAAAACAAAATGAAGCTGTGAATAGACCAAATCAAGAAGGGAACATGATCAAATTAGGCAGTTTATAAATATACAGTGCACAGGAATACAGCAAGCCTGTGGGTGGTGGGCAGCCCCATCACTCACCTGCCTGTGGATCTCACAGCTGGAAAAGGCTGTGGAAAGAGGTGGAAAAAAATCCAAGTGTTTAATAACAGTGCTATGATTCGCTGCGTTTTATTAATTTTCACTCTTTTGCCGGGTGCAGCCTTAACACGAACACAGAGAAACCCTCAGCTCACACGGGAGTGGGAGGAATCGGATGCTGTTACACCTCACCTTGAAGGTGACAGGCAGGGCTGTGCAATACCCATGTTTATGCATTATTACTCAGAAATCTGCTTTAGTAGGCTTGGGGTTTTGGTATGTTTTTTTTTTTTTCCCCCTGGATATCTTAATTCTGCTGATGCAAAGCGCGAGTGAAATTACAGGTGCCCATCTGCGGTGCAGGATGCTGATAAACAACTCGCCACTTCGCAGTGGCTGGTCACATCTGGAGCCTTTTGGGATGCAAAAAGTAGTGGAGGATTATTGCAAAACTTCGAGGCACTTGCGTTTGCCATAACTTTTGTTTTTAACCTAAATTTGTAGTTCCCCTCTCCCCTTAGAGGATTTTACTTATTATTTATTTTATATTATACTTATTTAGCTAACCAGCTAAGTCAGCAGCGAAGCAGAGAGTCAGACCTATAGCTCTTGTCAGGAAACTTTTCCAGTTTGACCTTAGACTGAGACAGGCTGGTATAAAACCATGGATCAGTGGATTCTGTTCTATTCATTCCAGCATATTTTAAAACTCCACAACCCTCAGTCCCCAACTCTGAGTTAGCGTACAGTGTTCGACACCACTGTTCCATCAGAAAAAAAAAGGCATGATAAATTTGAATTTTTTCCCATCTTTAAGTTGCCATAATACTTCCATAACAGAAAATCAACACACAAATAGAGATGGATAGATGGATCCACAGTACAGACTGTGAAGACTGTAAGGATGGTGGAGTCCCTCACTCTGGCATTTTCTTCTTTGTATAGTTATTCCTGTATGGAATAGGTGGATTTAACATCCAGTTTGATGCAGTCTTCTACCATTTTCAAAGCACTCAGTTAGCCTGTCTTGAAAAAAAACCCTGCTACAATTCAAGAGGCTGTAATGAACTAACATCTATTTATAATATTATTTGCCATTTCTATTTGCCAGCGTGTGCACAGAAACACAAAGGGGGCTCAAGGAAAGTTTCACCCTTTGCGTTCCTTGCACACATTTTGAAATCCTTGCAAAATTTCCATCAGGTCACTGTAGCAATAATTATGCATGTATGCAGTTAATGTTCCCTGACTGCTTCTGATCCGCTGTGTCTGTTCCCTTTCTATGCTCTCCTGTGGAGATCATACAGGCAGGATGGAACACACAGACTGGTCAAAACTCCACACTCTGGAAAATCTCTAAACCCTGCTCCTGGAGGAAATACTTTAACCAATGCAAAATAATAATTTAAAAAAAAAAAAACAAAAAAAAACAAAAACCAAAACCCACAAAACCCCAACCCTAAATGCTCATCTGCACATTTATTCCCTGCCCCCCCAACATTTAGTACGTGTTGTGTTGGAAATATCTGAAATGGCTTTGATGTATTTTCTGTGATTATCCACAATTTCCTGTTATGTAAGGTATCTCTCAGGAGACTTCAGACTCAAGAATAGGTTGCACTGGGAATTATCACTAAGATCTGGCTCAATATGGCTTTTTAGCTCATTGAGCATTGCTGTTGTGCAGAGCACTGTATTTTTCCTATACTGTTTAGTCTGTTTATATAAAATACTCACTCTGAAACCGAGAATGCTCCAAATTCATCCTCTTATGGCACACGTGATCTTTCATGAGAATCCAGTTAAACACGGGGGGGGGTTGCGCTTTTTTGCTTAAGAGAAGATATTGTCATGTTGGGTCTGGCTTTCTTCCCCTCCTGTTTGAAGGTCAGTGATCATTTAGGACAAATTTCTATCATGCATTTCACATGCTAAGGCAGTGTCTGTAGCAGGAGACAGGCCATAATTTATCAGTGAATCTCCGGTTGTTCTCCAACTCCTTCCTGGTGAGGAGGTGCAGAGAAGCCTGGTTTCATTAAAGCTCCCACTTGATGATGGTAAACAGCTATTTTAGTCTTCAGTTCTACACACTAATCCTGACCCACCTGCACATTGACAGTTGTGGGAAGAGAACTGATCCTTCTTCCCCTTGACCACGTGCTGATGTCACCTTTGGAAACTACCTTGGGAAGAAGCTGGACATGTGCCTTCGAGGGACCTCCTCCATCCAAGCATAAGACAATCCTTCTTCCACTTCCATGTGTTTATTGTACCACCCCCTTCTCACATTCACACCTGGCAGTTTATGTTCTCTTACTGTCCTTTCCAGCTGCTGCATTCCAAGTCTGGTCCTCTCCCAGTTTCATCCTGGTGTACTCCTCTTGTCTGTGTTTACAAATGTACATGCTTTTACAAAGAATTATCTGCATATCCAGGGCTTTTCCCCCCATTGTTTCCCACACCTTCTTGCCTTTCTTGACATCTTCTACACACAAAATATCATGAGACAACTCCTTCCCAGCTCCATGGCTCAGTGCAGAAATACCTATGGCATTCAGATCTCACCAGTAAAATGTTTTAAGAGATATTTAAACTGTTAAATGAGTCAAATGTATTAAGTTTTTATTAACCAAGCTGGCTAATAACACACAGATTTCCTTTGTGATTTTTTGCCCTACCTACCTGCAGACAACAGGGACCCACTTAAGCTCTAGTTTTAGTCTCTATCCCTGCATTCCAAAAGGAAACAAAGAAACTTTCACATTCAGTCAAAATCAACAGAAAAAACTGTACTTCTGGCCGAGACACACATGCAAACAGAACAAAAACAAGATGTGGACGCCTTGCTGCACCTTCAAGGGAACCAGGCACCTGTGTTGTTGTGTTGTTGGCCAGTGCCACCCACCCCACACACCGTTACATCAGATCTGACCTCTCCAAGGAGTCTTTCATGATCCTGGCTGCCATGGCTTTGATCCAGAACTCTCCCAGCAAAGCCTGGCACAACAATGGCTCCAGTGCCATCCTGCACTGTCAGCAAGCAGGGAGCAAGAACCACCAGGATTTACAGCTCTCCAAATCCTGCTGATTCATGGGCACAGCCAGAATTGAATTGTGCCATATCAGTGCTATTCATAGCCCTTCCACCTCTGGAGCAGTCTGCAATATTTCTGAAGACACTGCTGCTGGTCACAGGGGCTGAACGTCACCTGTGCAGCTCCCTCACCACATAGGACCAGAAATCACCACCAGTTTCTCACCCACAACTTTACTCTGGTTCACAGTTGGGATTTTGCTGTGGAAATGTGGTGCCTGGGTAATTTACTGAGTATGGCATCCAGATTTATGGATGGATTTAAGAATAAATATATAAAAATTGAAGGCTGCTGTTCAACCAAAATGCATTTTGGGTTGGTGTGGTGCAGGAACTGCATCCCAGACAATGAAATTCCGTGTTACTATTCACTCCAGGAGCTCCAGGGCTGGATGCCCAGGTGCTCCACTTGACCCTCAAGTCTTTTCTGACTGTGGCTGTGGTACCTCTGTGGACTGGTAAATGATATAATGACCATGGTTAAAGGAGGAGGATACGAGGGTTAACAAGCTGTTGGCATTTCTCCTCTGCTTTGTGGTCTGCAGAGGGAACTTTGTGGAGTGCTCAAAACAACCCCAGGCTAATTAAGCACGTTTGGGCGTCCTTACCAGGAGGGAATCTAAACTTAGGCACGGAAGATTTATGGCAAAATGGGGATCCCTCTGGAAACACGTGGTTGCAAAGAGTTCACTGATACTGCTACTGCGACAGGGAAACAAAGATCTCTGTGGCTTCCCAGCCCCATCCCCAGGAGGGGAGCCTGGGACTGGTTGTCAGCACGGGGGCTGAGAGCCCACATCTACGAGCAGCTGGAAGGGGACATTTTAGACTACAGTATTTTACTTAGCCCTTCAGCTCCAAACAAACCCTTTTTTGGGTACCGGTGTTCCACCTTTACCAAATGGAGTCCACCCAGTTTGCTTAACACTTCGAGCAATTAAACTGCAGTGCAATTAGTGCTGGTGTTGTGATTGTTCAGACAGGATCAGGGCTGAGTTGTGCTAAGCTCTTCCAGACGGCTAGATAAAAGTCTCTGATCCACAAAGTAGACAAGGCATTAGTAGAAATACAAGAGATAAAGCTGAAAAAACAAAAGAAAGCCTTGACAGCAGCTCACACTTGTCCAGGCTGAGGGGCTCGTACAGAGAAGGGGGCAAGGAAAGGTGGCTCTGCTTGGCCTCACAGAGCACTAACGGCCATTACAGTCACTATCAAAGTTAGAGGAAATTGCATCCATTTTACTGTTGAAACGTACAAAACGTACAAAGCTTTCTCAGCATCCATAAAAAGTTTATCCATTTAAAAAGTTAAATATATTAGAAAACAGAGGACATGAGCTTGCTGTTGTTCTTCAGCCTCAACTTGTATTGCTTTCAGTGGCGATTTCACCTCAATAAAGACAGAAGGACCCAGGCACAATGTTTTTAATTACTAGTGGCATTTCTAAGCCTTCTGTGGTCAGCGCCCAATCCAAAAAGTGACTTCACTTTTGACTCTGGCAGTATGGATGCTCTGTGCAGGAGATAGGCTGCAAACTAGTTTCCATCCTGATTCAATAATAGATTCATGATCCAAAAAGGAACTTAAAACACTTTACTTCAATATTCAGACTTGAAGCTTTCCCTCTGCAAAGAGTTTTATAACCCAGCCATAAAAGACTGCCTTTGAAGGTTGGTTTAAAAGGTCCTAGGAAAGCTGTGGATTTTTAGATTTGAAGCTTCCAGTACTTAACTGTTGAAAAAGAAATAAACAAATTGGCAGCTTGCATGACCAAATCTGCCCTGACCAGGTGAAATGAGTTAGAATAGAGTCAACTTTGCATAGCCAAAAGGTCCAGGATGCTTTGACGCAGAAACTCTTTCAACTGTGTTTCCTGCAAGGTGAAACAGGTGGAGATGGATGTTGCTGGGATGAGGGTTTGTGGAGCACGATCCC